CTTTCTCCCGACCCATCCTGAGGCATCCTGCCCCAGAGAGTAACTAAGCTATGCCAGGCCAAATTTCCAACATGTTGTTAACCCCTACATTATTCCCTTCTCATCCAAATTTTGCCCAGTAATTTGAGAAGCTTATTTTCCCCTCTCTCATTATTCATTTCCTCTCGCACCTTCTTTGCCATTCTTGGCCCCAAACTGGCCTTTCTGGTGACACACAGTAGTCCTGGAAGCACACCTGACAGGGAGAAGAAACCACTTCCACTTTAAAGTCACATTAGAGGAACCGCCCATGTTATAAACTTCTAAAACCCTTCCCAGTAGCAAGATGCCTTGAGCATCTCAATAAAGGTTTCTACCCTCCTCCTCAACCATCTCCTGCTTTTTCTCAAGTTCAGTGTAAATCAAAAGCCTATATTTGAAGTCATATTTTGTTTGCTTTGTTTAGACCCTAGTCTAGCAGATAATTACATTTCTTCACTGTCCCGCCTTTGGGCTCCATGTCCATCTCTATGGGAGGTGGCTGGTTGTTCATTCCTAAGTGGTCGTCTTGTCATCCTTGAGTGGAGCCCTCATGTGTGCAGTTAGCTGGTTGCCTTCCTTGAGGTTTTCTCTTTCTGTGACCCGTGTAGGACCTCACAGAATGCTCTAACCACCACAGGCAATCGATTAGGTGTTTCTGAAATGCAAAGGAATATGTTGTTGTAGGCTGACCTGGGAATTGGTAGCATTTGTTTCCGTGAAGAAATGTGTTCAAATAAGAACCAAGGCCCGTCTTGGGTCGCAGTCTCCTTGTTATTAGAAACGTCATTTGGCTTTATCGAGTCCTGGCGATTGGGTTGCCCTGTTTTAGGGCCACATGGAATTGATCTGTGGACTAGGTCAGATGATCTGGGGAGGGTTCAAAGCCTCTCAGGTCACCTCCCTGGGCCTGGCAGTGGCAGATATGGGGCTTCGGTTTCACGTCATCCAGACTTTCAGACAATATTGCTCTGATCAGTGCCATATTCATCCAAAACTGTGCCCTGTTACAAACAAGCCTGTTCTGAATGGAAAGCTGCTGTGCCTACCTAGCCTTGGCTGGTATTCCCTCAGCTGATGTCACAAAGGGCAGTCATAGACTTGGTAACCCCAACAACATGGCCCAGTAGGTACCCCACCTCCCATTTGCTCTCCAGAAATCTCTCTGCCTTCCCCTTCCTCGGTGCCTCCATCCTCTCCCTTTGCTGCCCTTCTTATCCCATTGTCACTTGGCTATTATATGGAACTCAGTATTTCTTGAATAAAATGTTACACTCTTTGCTTTTTAATAAGCAGCAAGGGACCCCCTGACTTCCCCCAAAGAAAAGAAAAACTAATGATTGACCCTTTGGAGGTGGCTTGTGGTGGATTTTATTCTATGGCTCAGTTTATTACATTTTAAAAAAATCACCCATCTGTGTTCTGCAAGGTGTGGATTCCCACAGGCTGGAGGGCAAAATCCCCATGCTGCTTGAATGGCCAGATGTGGCCCTTTGTGGCACTCTCTTGCAACGTTTTGGGAAGCATAAGAAGGGGTTACAGTAAACCCTTTACACATGCAGAAATGCCACGGACTTAACCGTCTGTGCCAATAACCCAAGTCCTCACAAAGCTTTGTAAACTACACAGCACTGTGAATATAAACAGGTTTTTATTTACGCAGTTGCATTTATGAAACCCGAGATTTGAGAAACAGGGTCTTCTCTCCCAAGAGCGGAGGTAGCCCTTCCTTCCTGTTTGTTGCTCCATTTCTAGATGCAGCATTTGTTCCTGTGTCTGCTCCCTGGAAAACAGTGAGATCCATTAGGGCCAAAATTTGTGTTTATGGATTTTTTGTATCCTTCGTGCCCAGCAGAGAACTTGAAATAGAACAACTGCTTTAGAAAGGAAGAAAGAAAGAAAAACAGGATGGATGGATGGATGGAGTAGACCAAGGAATGAGTGAACGTTCTTGCTTCTTGCCTGATCTAAACCTCTGTCTCTAACACAGCAGAATGAGCCTCAGGATTCAGATTAACACCAAGAAACAATGGGAGTTTCTTTCTGATCACACACAAAGCAGAGAACTAAACGAATTGTACATCCTGGCGCAAAGTTCAGTTGCAAATTCTCTTACAGTTCTGAATTCTGTGGTTCACAAGAACCGCACACCTGGAGACCAGCTGCTGGAAAGTAAAATTTTATATAAATAAGTGTGTGTGTGTGTGTGTGTGTGTGTGTGAGAGAGAGAGAGAGAGAGAGAGAGAAATTAAGAGAGAGACCAGTTCATGAATCTTTATGATCTTAAGACATTCATCTTTTAGGAGGCACCCTGTTTTGGTTGGACCAACTTAAGACATATTTTCACTCAAATTGCCAAAGATCACAAGACTTTAACGCCAACGTAATTGGGGCCTAGCTGTCAAGGCCATGTGGTATCAACACCGAGAAAAGACTCCAAGGTCTGGAAGTACTTTCTAAGCCATTACAGGGAGAACAGTAAATGCCCAGCGCTGCCCAGATGGTGGGAGGGCTGAATGGAGCCCGCTCCACCCTGGCGATCCCATCCCACCCTAGTCTGTAAGACAACACAGCTGCTCACAACATGAGGGAGCTCATAGGCTTTGTACTTAGAGCCAGTTGTAGAGTTATTTTCATGAATAAAGGAACTCAACTGTTTACAAGTAAAGAGGTTTGCCCCCTGGCAAGAAAACATCAACAGTAGTTCCAACAAAGCAGGCCAGGGGAGGAAATGGGCATGCAAAGCATTCTTTTTGTCCCAAACAACTCCAAAGCTTTGTGCAGACTCATCTAGAAGTATGGGTCGGTTATCACATGTGTATGGCATTTCTGTGCAAGTGTCGGCGAGGGAAGGAGCAGGGAGGAGACGAGAGGGGACCCAGAAGTGACAGTAGACACTGCTAGACCACCTACTTCTTCCCTACACCTCTCTCCCCAACTTGCAGAGAGCAGGGAGTGCCCAGGCACGAGTCTGGGTTTTTCTGCTGTGAGGTGGTTGCTCAATTTAGAGGAACCAGTTCCGATGTCTCCAAAGGGTAGGGTTTGAAGCTGAGGACTTGGCCCAGAGCCACATCTCCAAGGTTCACAGTCATCTAGGGAGTGAACCATGCCAAAGCAGGACAGGCGAATCAGAGAGTGGGAAAAGGGACCTTACCTGACACTTCTTTTTGGATGAGATGCAGGCAGGCCCCATGAGCCACACAGCACACTCAAGGCTTTTAAAATTTAGTTTTATCTAAGAAAGTAGCTGCAACCTGTTTCCTTACCTAAAAATGAGGCTGGTCAAAAAACAGCATCAGCACCTGTTATGGAATATAACATCTTATACTCGTATGCCAAAATACAAATTTGTGGCCAGGAGGAAGCTGAAAGGTATTCTTCAACAGAATCCAGTGTATAATTATCATACAGATCTCTTCTTCCTTCCTTAAAGACATTTCTGCCCTTTGTCTCTCTACTGTGCATGGCATTTTTATTATAAAAAAACAAACAAACCGAAACTCATAGAGAACGACACCCATTCACTACCCATCATGAACAAATAGCAGCATTCTTTGTATTTGCTTCATATCTTTTTCTAAGAAATGGAATATCAGAGAGTTAAAGTTCCCTTTGTTCCTGTTCCCGAGTCACACATCCCTTTCTCACCCAGAGGTAAGCATAGTGTGACATTGGTGTGTGTTCCGTGATTTTATGCATTTGCTACCCTCCTTTGTTATCCCCAGATACTTACTTAAACTGCTTTTTTATTTCAATTTATACAAATAGATTCATACTGTACATAAAATAGGTTGGCGACTTTTTTCCTGCGGTTACACTTTTTAGATCTATTTCGTGTTAAAATATATCACTCTAATTCATCTTAACTTTTGTAGAATGTAGGCATTGTAGAAATATATTCTATAACTTCTCCCCTACTAATGGGGTCTTTTACTATTATGAAATTGCTGTACCAAACAGCCTCACATTCTCCTTATGATGTCTGAGGGTTTCTTTAACCTATGTTTGTAAAAACAGACATACTGGGCACATGTGCAATACACTTTTAATGGTACTAGATATCATCTAATAGCTCTCCAAAATACACACATCAATTTATACCCCATTAGCAGTCTGTGAGTTCCCATTTGCCCGCATGGTCCATCACCATTAAGGAACTGTCAGACCTTTTAATGTTCGTCAAGCTGATGGTATGTGATGGTATACTTTTGTTGAATTAAATATTCACTTATTTGCATTTCCCTAATCATGACTGACCATGGTTTCCTGTCAGGGGACATTTGAAGTTCCCTCTTTTGTACATTTCTTCTTCATAGTCTCTGCCTGTTTTTGTTTTTTTCTGTTGGGTTCTTCACCTTTTTCGTAATGATTTATAGAAAGTCTTTATATAGTTCGATTACCAATCATTTGTTATCTATTGGGTTGTCGGAAAAGTTATGATGCATTTTTGCAACAAAAAACAGAAAAAATACGTTATGACTTTTCCGACAACCCAGTATGTTGCAAATGTCTTCTCTAAATCTGTTGGCTGCATGTTGAGTTTTAAAATGTAAACAAAGGGGTCTTTTGAAAATATTCCTCCTGAAATAGGTGGTACTCCCCCAAAGTCAGAAGAGAGTCATCACACAGCTATAAGATCTACAAACACCAACACGGCCATAGTCGTCATCACTATGTAACTTTTACATTTGGGGAGCACTTTATACTTTACAAGGCATCTTTTAATCACATGATTTCTGCCTCAAAGAACGTCTGAGGCTAACAGGGCCTCATTTCTCATCTGTAAGATTGAGCAGTTGATCATCAGCGTCTTTTTAATGAGATAAGTCTGACCTTTCATCCCTCTTCTGCAACTTGGGAGACCCAGGCACAGAGGAGTGGAAAAATTTGTCCATAGTCATACTCTTCCTTAAGGGTACAGGTGGGTTATTTGTTGATTACAGCTCCATAAAGCTGGGGAAGAAAGGTACAGGAGGCCCTAAAATCTCAGGTATCTGATCCCTTGGGGGGTCTCTCTCCACATGAGGTGGCACTGAGATCAGCATCAGGGGACAAAGAGAGACGCAGGAAGATGGGAGTGTGAGACAGGCACGGTGCCCTCACTTGACTTTCCAAAATACAGGGAAGATGACAGCAGCCCCTCTGAACTCACACAAGATGAAGCCCATCCAGTGTTCCTGCTCCCAACAAGAACACAAGGATGCACTCTAGTCAACACCTTTTACTGAGTTGCCAGGATGGGGCCAGATTCTTCACAGCACATCCATTTCTGGAAATGTTACCAACTCATTGCTAGAGGCAAGTTTCTGTTACAAAGTTGAAAGGGCAGAAAAGCAAAGCTTTTTTTTCCACCCCCTCCGTTTATTAGTACATACAGAAACACTGATTTACCCAGAACTTGTACCTAAGACTGTAACCAAATGGGAGTGGTTCTTATTCTCAGCATTCCATGACATAACAATGGCTGCAACAGTGAGACGGAAAATACCTGTGCAGCCAGCATGAAACTTTCCATTGGGTCTGAGGCTACACCCAAGTAGCTCTGTGCAGATGCCTCTGGTCATGTAGTACATTTGGCATTACCTTGGAGAATCTGGGCTCATTCTATTCCACTCTGGGAGAAGGTGGCTGAGGCAGACCTGGAAGAATGTAGCGATGTCCACATTTCTGGGGACACTGGCTTTGGGCATGACCCACAACAGTATTCACAAGTGGTGCCTTCTCCATTTTTGAGAAACCAAATATACCTGAGCTAATTATGCAAAGTCCCCAGTTTAACTCACTGGTTTTGGGTTTGTTTGTTTAATTACAAAACAGAATCTTAGGCAGACAAATGCAGTCAGAATATACTTAACAGTTTATCTCATGGCTTATAATATAGAACTACTTGTTTCTGTTACTACAGGAACAGATTGCAAAACACTTTGTTTCCCTGCCTTGGGTAATGAGTCTGATTTCTATCTAGTTCAAAGCACAGAGACAGAGCCTTAAACGTGACAGGTGTTCTACAAGTACCTGCAAAATGCATAAATCAGTGGTTGATAGCATCCACTGGCTGCTGGTAACCTCTTCTACCAATTTCAGAGCTTCAAGGAGCTGGCAAACTTTAGGATGGGAAAGAATTCATTTGGCAAAACCAGAGAAACATGAAAAATAATCTCTAAAGTGTTTCCTAACAGTCGTTCACATTGGAAATGACGGCTCATGGGCACATGTGCTAACATGCCTTCACATTACCTTTCGTTTTAAACTCATCAACAAAACATATGTTATATAGCCTATCTATCTTCTTAAAGTTTCTTATCCCTGACATGAACTTTTTTGAGAGTTGAGACCTAAAACTGAAGAAAAACTTCCTATGAAACACTATGCTGGTTGCGGGGGAAATGAAGAGCTTGAGCCTTCCCTCGCAAGAACCATACAAAGCCCCTGAGTGATGGGTACACCTGGGCACAGGTGGGCCTTGGGAGGTGCCCACTGTGACTCTGAGAAAAAAGCATCCAAGTGGCAGGATGATATCCCCAATGCAGCCATCCTGGGCCACGTGGTCAGGACCTCCGCTCCCGCAGCACTGGCTCCACCCTCTGAACCCCCAGGGCCACCCTGGTGCTGAGCTGAGACGGTGCCGAGCTCCTGAGTCTCCCAGGCCTGTGGAAATCAACCACAGTGCCCTGGACCTCCAGCCCTGCCTGGCCTTCCCCCGTGTTCCCAGAAGAGTCTTTCCTGAGAGTCCCTCTGATGAAGGTCCATAAAAAGAGGACAGATGGACGTCTGGGGATGCCAGAGTGAGAGCACAGTCCTAGGAGAGTCAGCACAGGGCCACGTCCCCAGCAGAAGCCAAGGCAGGGCGCTCCCAATGCCTTGGAAACATTCTCCAGGAGCCTGCAGAGAAGACGAAACAGGACGGCCGACAGGGACTCAGGGAACACTGTTCTATCTTAGCAATCAAGGGCTTCAGACAAACGACACTGGGCTCAGCAAGGCCAGCAGCTCGGGTGCCACCAGTCTGCCCCCACCTCCTATGCCTGCCACTCAGTTGTAGGAAAGGTAATTGATGAGCCGAGAAGGGATGTTCAACTTGGCAATCTTCTCCAGCCCTCTGACGCCGGTGGCCCTCCTCAAGCTCACCCTGCAGAGCTGTGACAGGGTCAGAGGTGTCTCTGGAAAAGGGGAACAGGAAGCACATGAGGTTAGCTTAACGGAGGTGACCACAGATTCACATTCTTCATCTTAAACAGTACCAAGGTGGAACTGGAAATAGGATACCTCCCTTTTCTGGAAATAGGATGTGCTCTGCATGCCTTACCTAGACGACTACCAGGAAGGACAGCCTAGAACTGAGGAAACCAGAGCCGGAAATGGAATTTCGGTGATGTCCACAGGCATTTCATTTTGTGGAGTTTTGCTCTTTTTGTTTTTCGTGATTCTTCCCCCCCGCCCCCCAAAATGTTATAACCTAGCACAAGGATTTGTCAGCAAAGCAGTAATCTATAGCTAGTAGACTTGTTTGTCAAACTTCTAGACAAATGAAGGACAGGGTAAAGGTTAGTGCCAGGCAGGTGCTGGCTGTCAGCTCCCGCTGTTCCAGGCCACAGGCTCTGGTCTCACTACCGAGTGCTGCAGGGCACAGGGAGACCCCCAGGAGAACTGACACACATCACAAAACAGCTCCTGCAGACAAAGAGTACGCAATGCCTGTCCTCCTGGCAGAGGGTCAGGACCTCAGAACCCTGGAGCACTGGCTCAGAAATGCGAACAAACCAGGGTCAGAGATGGAAGATGCCTGGAGGCCCCTGGCAGCTGAGGCTCAGGAATGTTTGCAAAACAGAGCCTGGCTTCGAGGACCTGCTTTTTCAAATGATCTGTGTTTGACAAAAAATATAAATTAACCAGAGTATTCTCACTTTATGAAACATTCTGAAATATAAAGTTCTTTGAAAGAAAAAAATAGAAAGAGTAACTGGTGAGGTTCATTTTCCTGTGTTACTTCCCTCCCACCCCCAAATTATTTGGAAAAGAAACATCATCTTCCAGGAAATGCTGAGCCAACAGAAATGGTGGAATTGGTCTTTCATTCATAATGGATTTTGATTGGGTAGTTAGGGCTGGCAAAAATTGGAATAGTTCAGGGGCAGCCGTTAGCTCAGTTGATCAGACCATAGTGCTCATAACACCAAGGTTGCCGGTTCAGTCCCCACATGGGCCACTGAGTTGTGCCCTCCACAACTAGATTGAAACTACTACTTGACTTGAAGCTGATGGGTCCTGGGAAAAACACACTGTTCCCCAATTAAAAAAAAAAAATTGGAATAGTTCATTTTTAAACTGATAAGTGTTTGAAAGCCTGTTGGGACTCTAATTCTATGGAAATGCATTTTAAAATTTGCACCCCAAACAGAAACCTTAGCCAGGTTGTTTGTACTTCGTTTCCTGACGAGTGAGGGCTGCATCTATGTTTTCAGCCTCATGTGGACTTAGTCTGACATTGTTTCCTGACTCATAAACGATCTGATATATTGTCAGATCGGAGCTTCTTGTATCACTGTCTCTCATGCAATTCTAAAATGTGTTGCATCATTCAAACCACAAGAAGAGCCTGGCCTCACTTTCGTAGTGCTCAAAGCACTTGGCAGGGGCGCTGCTACTCCACGTGTAGTCAGACGGCTTCTTGCCCCGATTGTCCCGCGCGTAGATGTTGCCTCCAAACTCAATGAGCATCTCGATGAGGTCCACGTTCTTCACCTTGGCCGCGTGATGAAGGGCTGTCTCATGAAGCTTTGCTGCATTCACATTGGCCCCTGCAGGTCCAGAGCGAAAATAAAAATCACCAAGGAGAGAACTTGGAGCCGAGAGAAACACCGGCTTGTACCTTTCTGTCTAGCACAGTATGCAAAATAAACTCAAGACAGACTCTGCTATAACCTTTTCAAAATCCAAGAGCAATAATTTTTTTTTCTTATAACAAGAGAGCTAAGGACCGGTAGTAATAATAAAGAAACGTAAGTAGAGATAGAAAAACAAAAATAAAACAAAAACTTCCCTGTGAGTTTAGAGGCAGCTCTAATGCCCTGTGCAGTCTGTCCTCACAGGTCCTGAGACTGGAAGCTCAGACTGAGCTACTCAGGCTCTCCAGTCTGTCCATGCACACACACACACACACACACATGCACATGTGTGCCCATGCACACAAACATGACCGTGCACACACATACACATGCACACGGAGGGCACAGGACAGAGGCTCTAAAACTGTGTGTTGCATGAATAAATGAATATTCCTTAAATATAAATATTATTTTTCCAAAAAATTATTGTTCCCCAAGCACCCTGAACTTCAGACAAGAGATGAGGTCTCATAGCTCTGCCATCTACCTCTTGCCCATGATAACAGTCGATGTTCAGAAAGATGTAGATAAATAACAGCACTGTTAAAATGCATTAAAAATATATACAAGTCACAGTTCTATACAATGAGATTTCTTTCTTTTTTTTTTTTTTAAGCTGAGCCATCCTGTCGCCTGTTGGCAGCTCAGCGGCAGCTCAGGTCAGGCCGCGCATCGAACCGCTGTTGCTCAGAGCTCACACTCTTGAGTGAGCTCTTAACCAACTGAGCCACTCGGCCGGACCCCACAATGAGATTTCTTGAAGCTTTGAAATTTTTTTTTTAGAAAATACTATCTTGAAATCTGCTCCCAAGTGGATAAGAAGGTGATAGAGAAGGGGACAGAAGAAAAGATTTTTTGTTTTTGTTTTCTACATTCACTGGTTTGGACTTTGTAAATCCTGAAACCCTACTTTTCTTTTTTCGATTACAGTTGACATACAATATTATATTAGTTTCAGGTGTATAACATAGTGGTTAGACATTTATATACCTTACGAAGTGATCACTCTGATAAGTCTAGTACCTACCTGGAATCATACATAGTTATTACAATATTATTGACTATATTCCCTGTATATTCCCTATGCTGTACTTTACATCCCTGTGACTATTTTTATAACTGGCAATCTGTATTTCTTAATTACTTTCCCTTTTATGCCCATCTCCCCAACCCTCCTCCCATTTGACAACCCTCAAAATGTTTTCTGTATCTATTTCTGTTTTGTTTGCTCGTTTATTCTGTTCTTTAGATTCCATGTATAAGTGACATCATATGGTATTTGTCTTCCTCTGTCTGACTTATTTCACTTAGCATAATACCCTCTAGATCCATCCATGTTGTCCCAAATGGCAAGATTTCATTCTTTTTTATGGCTGAGTAATATCCCATTGTATAAATGTACCACTTTTTCTTTATCTGTATGTCTATCCATGGACACTTAGGTTGTGTCCATACCTTGGCTATTGTAAATAATGCTGCGGTAAATATTGTAAATAATGCTGCGGTAAATATTGTAAATAATGCTGCGGTAAATATAGGGGTGCATATGTCTTTTCAAGTTAGTGTCTTCAATATCTCCAGATAAATACCCTGGAGAGGGATTGCTAGGTCATATGGTAGTTATAGTTTTAATTTTTTGAGGAAGCCTTTTATTGTTTTCCTTAGTGGCTGCACCAATTTACAATCTCACCAACAGTGCACAAGGATTCCCTTGGAGAAAAGTATTTTAGAGAAGTCAAGGGAGGGCCAGCCAAGTGGCGTGCTGGTTAAGAGGTGGCTTGGGACGCCAGCTCTGAGCAGCAGGGCCCCAGTTTGGATCCCACATTAGGGCCCGTGACACTGCGCCCTCTACAGCTAACATGGTGAACAACAGCTCAACCTGGAGCTGGGCTGCCATGCCGGCATAGGCTGCAGTGAAGCTGCAGTGGGCTCCTGTAAGCTACCATGAGCAGCCGGCAGCCGGCGTGAGCTGCCAAGAGCCACCATGAGCGGCTGTCCAGTGGCCGGCGACGGATCTGCCTCACCCGGGAAGAGCGCAATGATAATACCAACATGGGCCAGTGAAGCCACGTCCTCCACAGCTAGACTGAAGAACAAAAAAAAAACACAAAACAGCAACTTGTCTACCTATCTGTTTCCTTTCCCCAATTCCCCAACGCTGTTCCTCTCCCCCAATTGCCCAATAAAATCTTTGAGGGGGGAAAAAAAAGTCAAGGGAAATAAAACAGTCAAGCAAATAGCCCAGGAGCAGTTAAGTTAGCCCCCAAATAATAGACTCAAATCACAATTATACAATGTCATTAAAGTGGGGTCTTAAAAAATCAGATCACTGGCATGTCGCCATGTAATGGTAAATTTAGAGGGCCAAAATAGGAGGAAATGAGCATGCATAAGGCTATTAGATCTTCTCGTCCCACTGCTCAAAAATATGTGAAAAATCCTGCTTTCTGATTTCTGACTTAAAACATTGAGTTGACGGAAAACTCATGATGTTTTTTTCTATGTTTTTCATTGCAAAAATGAGTCATGACTTTTCCAACAACCCAATAGTTTCAATCCCCTAGTAAAACATAAAAACTATATTCATGGCAGTGGTCACCATATGATCCTAAGAATACAGCAAGCATTCCATTATGATAAGACAAGTGAAGAAACTTTCCCTCCACTTCCCACAGCCAAACTCAGAAATTGGGTCAGGAAACAATCCCTCAATTCAGAAGAAGGCTAAATTCCCTAACTATTTAATTTGGCAGATATGTATTACAAAAATAATATTTAAAAGTATTACATTAAGTAAAGAAACATTTTGCCTGCAGTCTAACCACTCTGCTACATCAGGGTTTTTCTTCCAATGCTTGCCTATATGAATAAAAAATTGTATAGTGTTGCAATCATAATGCAAATATGAATTTGAATGCTAAACACAAACTTGTAACAATACATTGTAAAGTGTACAGACTCTAAAGTCCAAGTAGCTTTCTGTCAGGTCATTAATTCTCACAATATTCTTGCCAATAGGCAACAAAAGAGATTGTCTCTATTTTAGCGACAGAGAAGGGGGCACAGGGGAAGTAAAGCTACTGTCATGGGCAAGGAGAAAACTATGGTGGAAATAGCTCTAAAAAAATCACACCTCCCTTCCATCCCGTTCAATGTGGTCCCAGTATATGAGGCCTCAACAGGGTGACTCTTTCCAAGAGGTACAAAACAGTATCTTTTAAAAATGTGTTCTTGGCATCATTTGATTGATGTAAAGAAAGGAGTCGTGACTAAGAGGAAAGCTGGCATGCTCTGCACCAGATGGGAACAACAGACCAGAGGTACACAGGGCAACATGGGTGGGTCCTGAAAACACAGGGCTGAGTGGAGAAACAGGAAATCAAGTCAGATCTATAACACAATACCATTTATGTCCATTAAAAATACATGACTCGGGCCGGCCGAGTGGCACGATGGTTAAGAACTGACTTGGAACGCCAGAGGGCCCCGGTTCGGATCCCACATATGAGGGCCAGTGACACTGCCCTCCACAGCTAAGATGCTGAACAACAGCTCAACCTGGAGCTGGGCTGCTGTGAGTCGCCGGCGACGGCATAGGCTGCAGCCCCTGCTGCTGTGGGTTGCCATGGGCTACCGTGTGTAGCCAGCAGCTGCAATGAGCGGCCGTCCAGAAGCCAGCGATTGATCTGCCTCACCTAGGAAGAGCACAGTGATGATGCCAATTTGGGCCAGTGAAGCAATGTCCTCCACAACTAGACTGAAGAACAAAAAGGACAGCAACATGTCTGTTCCCCTTCCCCCCAATTCCCCAATAAAAATCTTAAAAAAAAAATACATGACTCAACTGACAATGTGTATCTTACAAAAACAGATAAACATTAGAACGGTGGGATTGGGGTTGGGTGTGGCCAGAGGAAAGAAGAGGAGGGAAGAAGCAGGGGAAAAGTGCTTTTGTGTGGATTAAGGATGATAATTGCACTGAAAGGGGAGAGAGAATAAGAGCGCATAAGCGTCAGCAAAACAGCTAATGCCATCTGGACATTAAAAATTCTCAACTTCATGCTTCAGAGAAAAGGGATCAAAGTCTGCTCATTATCAAAATCCTGATTTCAAAACACAACGGGATTGCAGTGGATGCACAGTGAAACCTCAGCCAGCGAAGACAAGGAGGGGCTGCCACTCAGCATGCCAAGACCCCTGCACAATTCCTGGGCAGAGCTCAGTACTGTGCTGGCTGATAAAACAACTGAGAAATGTGGGACGGGTACTGTGCTGGGAAGGTGGATGCAAACACTGTTCAATGAGCTCCTCTGAGCACTTTCCAGCAGAGTTAAATATTTATTGTTGGTGATGAGATTAAAAATTACCCTACCACAATAACTGGACTTTCCCCTTCCCCAACCATTCCCCTCTGCAAAAATCATGTGCACCTTGGGACTTGGCCTCACTGCCTACAAAAGGCCAACAGCCTTTGTATCCACCCCTGGGGGCACCCACAGCCTGGCTCCTCTGAAATCACGTGCAAATGCACCAGCATGCATGTTTTTCTAGAGAAGAGATCTGTGGCTTTCATTAGATTGAGAGTTACTGCTTTAAAATGAATCCATATGCTGTCCTTTTCTCTCTACTTTTCCTATATATTTTTTAAAGGTGTTCTGAAACGAAATGAATTACAATAAAAAAATAGTTTTCTTAAAAAAGAAAAAGACTTCATGTAATCTAAGAAGGGATGTAAAGGAGACCACCTGAGATTAGAATAGCAATCAAGGATTGAGTCAAGAGCTGACAGCGCAGTGGCAGTCGACATCACGTGATAACACTGACACATAAGGGAGCTTTCCCCGGCAGAATTCTGTCCATCCCTCATTCAATTTCCCAGGTGTATAAAAACTCTCTTGAAATCTACCAGGTCCCGTATCAGGCTGTCATGGACATTATGTTCACCTTCCCACTCCTTTTCAACCCACCCCACTGAACTGCCACCCTACAGTGTGGGATGTGGTCTAGGATGGAGGTGGGTGGATGACCTAACCTCCAGCTTCCAGTGTGGGTCCCGATTGGGTTCATCTCTTACCCAGGCCTGAGCCAATTGGAATTTGGCAGAGTCTAGCCAAAGGGACTGGATAAGCTTTGGACATGCGACCCAATTAAGGCAGATGGGACATAATGGAAGGTGTGAAGGAGACATCTGGGAAGACAGTTTTTCATTCTTCGAGAAACCTCACAGAATAAAGCATTTGGATTTCAACCCAACTCTGCTGCAGCCATTTTACCCCATCGGGTAAATGGCGGCTTGTCAGGTGAACACTGAGGAGAGCAGAATTGCAAAATGCAAAGAACGTGAGTCCTTGGTGACCCTGTTGAACCCCTGGGTCAAACTGACCCAGAAATTTTCTCTAGTCTGATCCTTTCAGTTATCTGAACCAAGAAATCAATCCCTTCACCCAAGATGGAGATGGTCTCCTATTATTTACAAAAGAGAAATCACATCTATAAAGTCTTAACTAATTCAAAGAGGATGTTGGGGTTAAAACCACTAATTTGATCCTTTCCCCTAGCCACAACAAAAAAAAATGAAAACATGGAATGAAGGTGTGCTGAGCACGTATATATACCAGACCCTCTGCAGTGGGCTGGCGCACTGTAAAATCTTTATTTGAAAAGATCAACAATAATGATATGTACATACCCTAGTTTGACAGAAACTAACCATCTGATGAGTGACTTGACTGGAAGACTTATGACTGTTTCTAATCTAGATATTGTATCATTATATAAAAAATAAAAACTGCCCCCATGACCTACCTTACACAAAATGAATCTTTTTCACTGAAAAGACTTAAAAGTGACACCTTCAAGTGAATAACACTAATAGAAAACTGCATACAACTTAAGCTCAAATGACTATCTTTTGAAGAGAATTCATAAACTTTCTATTTCTGAACGGTTTTGTTTTTATCCTAAGCTGCACCCAGAATGGATGGGCTAAAATTTTCTCTCAACAAAAATATTGAAGTTGGGTTCATAGTAAAAACTACTTGCCTATACTCACTTTGGCTGCATTGTAAAACTCCTGTAGTAGACAAGTCCTGAATCTAACCTTCAGTAGGTTGAGTTGTTCTTTATTTGGTTTGCTTTTTTCACCTTGGAAGCCTATCTATCCTGAGCTTTTAAAAAATTTTTTAAAGATTTTATTGGGGAATTGGGGGAGGGGAACAGTGCTGGGGAATCGGGGAAGAAGAACAGACAAGTTGCTGTCCTTTTGTTCTTCAGTCTAGTTGTGGAGAATGTTGCTTCACTGGCCCACGTTGGTATTATCATTGCGCTCTTTCCAGGTGAGGCAGATCAGTCGCTGGCCTCTGGACGGCCGCTCACGGCGGCTCTTGGCAGCTCACGCTGGCTGTCGGCGACTCACGGCAGCCCAGCTCCAGGTTGAGCTGTTGTTCAACATCTCAGCTGTAGAGGGCAGTGTCACTGGCCCTCATGTGGGATCCGAACCGGGGCCCTGCTGCTCAGAGCTGGCGTCCCAAGCCAGCTCTTAACCAATGAGCCACTCGGCCAGCCCTATCCTAAGCATTTAATTTTTAAAAATTTTTTCCAATTACAGTTGACATACAATATTATATTAGCTTCAAGCGTACAACATAGTGATTAGACATTTACATCACTTATAAATTGATCATTCCAATAAGTCTAGGACCCATTTGACACCATACATTGTTATTACAATATTATTGGTTATATTCCCTGTGCTGTACTCTACATCCTTGTGACTGTTTTTATAACTGACAATGATACTTCTTAATCCCTTCCTCTTTTTCACCCATCCTCCCAACCCCACTCCCATTTGGCCACCATTAATTTGTCTCTGTTCCTATGAGTTTGTTTCTGTTTTGTTTGTTCATTTATTTTGTTTTTTTAAGATTCCACATATAAGTGAAATCATATGGTGGTGTCTTTCTCTGAGGTGTCTTGGTGTGGGCCTCTTTGGGTTCATCTTGTTTGGGACTCTGTGCACTTCCTGGACTTGTATGTCTATTTCCTTCAACAGGTTAGGGAAGTTTTAGTCATTGTTTGTTCAAATAGGTTTTCAATCCTTTTCTCTCTTTATTCTCCTGGTACCCCTATGATGCAAATGTTGGTATGGTTGATGTTGTGCCAGAGGTCCTTTAAACTAGCCCCATTTTTTTTCTTTTTTCTTTTTGCTGTTCCAATTAGGTGTTTTCCTCTTCCTTGTCTTCCAGATCACTGATTCGATCCTATGCTTCATCTAATCTACTGTTGATTCCCTTTCATGTATTCTTCAGTTATTATATTCTTCATTTCTGACTGGTTCTTTTTTATGGTTTCTATCTCTGTTTTGAGGTGCTCGCTGAGTTCATTTATTCTTTCCCTAAGTTCATTGAGTAGCCTTATAACGAGTGTTTTGAACTCTGCATCTGATAGATTGCTTGCCTCCATTTAATTTAGTTCTGTTTCTGGGATGCCTCCCTGAATTTTTTCCTATGTATTAAGTAAGCCTGCTATGTCTCCCAGTCTTAGCAGAGTGGCCTTATGTAGTAGATGTCCTGTGAGGCCTGGTGGCACAGTCCCTTGGTCACCAGAGCCAGGTGCTCCAGGATTGTTCCTGTGTGAGTTGTGCTCTCCTGTTATAATTAAGCCTTGAATGCTGTGGGCATGTCAGTGGGTGGAATTGACCCTCAGACTGATTGGTTGTGAGGACTGATGGTGACTACAACAGACAAGCTTATTTAGGGGTAGACCCCGTGGAGTGGGAGTCGCTCTAGCGAGGCTATAGTGCCAACTGAATCTGCCTTTCAGGTATATCATTTGTGGAGCTGAGTAAGTGGTACCCTGGTGTGGTCTGAAGCTGGCCACCAGGTGTGTTGGTTCTGGAGTCTCTTGGAAGGGGCTCTGGTGCAGGCCAATGTTAGCCATCATTTGTGCCTGGCTTGGGGCCACCTCCTGGGAGCTACAAAGTGATTTGTGGTTGGTTGCCACTTGTGTTGGGCTTGAAAGCATTTGGGAGAGGCTATGCTGAGAATTGAGGCTGGCTGCCACTTGTGCTGGGCTTGGGACACTTTAGCGGGCACCACAATGTGAGCTGAGGCCAACTGTCTCTTGTGCCAAGTTTGTGGCCACTTAGTTGAAGCTACATTCCAGGTGAACACTAGCTGCAGCTTATGCCAGGATTGAGGCTACCTGATGGGAGTTACAGAGCAAGTTGAGACCAGTAGCCACTTATGCCAGGCTTGGGGCCAATTAGTAAGAGGGACAGGACCCACCAAGGCCAGCCACCACTTGTTTGGGATTTGTGGACCTTTGAGAGATTTTAGGAAAGTCCACAGCACAAGCTCACAAGCTGAGGCAGGCCATTTGTGTGGAAAAGGCCCTGGAAGCAGCTTGGGTTGGGCACGTGAGTTGAGTGAGACAGGGTCTTAGGGATTCACCAGGGCAGGGCGAATGGTGGTAGCCAGGTTAACAGAGCGCTCAAATTTGGCACCTGCCGGTTTGGTGGAAGGAGGGCTCAACAAAGGAGCAATGGTGCCTGCCACCACTTCCATCCTGAGAGAGAGCTGCCCTAACCCCTTCCCCTCTATCCCTCACCCTGAAGCCAGTCAGTTCAGTTCCTGGTATGTCCCTGGCACTCTTCAAGCTGCCACCTCCGCACTGGAGCCCAGGGCGAGTGAGTCTATGAGTAAGTCTGTGTGCAGGCCCCTCAGGAAGACCACCTCGGTCTCCCACAGCCCTCCGTCTCACCCAGGCTGAGTCTCTGGTGGTTTTCATAGCCAGATGTTATGGGGTCTCTCCTCTTCCCAGCACGGGAGCCCTGGGTTAGGGAGCCTGCTGTGGGGCTAGGACCCCTTGCTCCTCAGTGGGGGACCTCTGCAGCTGAGCTATTCCTTCTGATTCTTCCCACCAGTCCCACCGTCAGTGTGGGACCCACCAGTTCAGCATCTCCACCCCTCCTACTAGTCTCAGTGTGGCTTCCTCTTTATCTCTCTAGTTATAGATAGGAATTCTGTTCAGCTAGTCTTCAGGCAGTTCTCTTCAGCTAGTCTTCAGGCAGTTCTCAGTGATGGTCATTCTATAATTTAGTTGTGATTTTGATGTGGTTGGGGTAGGAGGTGAACAGAGCATTTACCTACTCCGCCATCTTGACTGGAAGTATCCTGAGCATTTTTAGAACATTTGACAACAACTTGGATTCCAAATGCTGCCAACCCCATTTTCCACTGGATCCCAATCTCTTCCTGATTTAAACAGCAACCTTATTAGGTAAGTATTATTGATGGTCCCTTGTGGCCACTAAAAATAATGATTAGCATTTGTGAAGCATTACTATGCACCAGGTACTGTGGAAACGTTATCACAAAATCCTCCCAACAAACCTGCAAAGTAGGTTTTACTTTTCCAGTTTTATAAATATAGAAACTGAAGCCCTATTCTCAGCTGGCAAGTAGGAAAGCCAGATTCAAACCTGGACTGTCTGACTCTACCACCTAGCTCACTGCCGACACATGGTGCAGGTAAACACTACATACCTGCATGGAGCAGTGCACATGTAACCGCTGATGCACCTACATTGAACAGAGCAGGTATAAACGCAACATACCTGCATTGAGCAGCACTTTGACACAGTCCAGATGCTCCCGGGCGCAGGCAACGTGCAGAGGGGTCCCAAAATGGCAATCATGTGCTTCCAGATTGGCCCCAACATCAATAAGAAGCCTCACACATTCAGAACTTCCTTAAAATAAATGGAAAAGAATGAAAACTGTCAATGAACATATGCGTTTGAGGGCCGGCCGAGTGGCACGATGATTAAGAGCTGGCTTGGGACGCGAGAGGAAACGAGTTCAGATCCCACATATGAGGGCCAGTGACACTGCCCTCTACAGCTAAGATGCTGAACAACAGCTCAACCTGGAGCTGGGCTGCCGTGAGTCGCCGGCCATGGCGACGGCATAGGCTGCAGCCCCTGCTGCTGTGGGTTGCCATGGGCTACCGTGTGTAGCCAGCAGCCACAGTGAGCGGCCGTCGAGAAGCTGGCGACTGATCTGCCTCGCCCAGGAAGAGCGCAATGATGGTGCCAACTTGGGCCAGTGAAGCAACGTCCTCCACAACTAGACTGAAGAACAAAAGGACAGCAACTTGTCTGTTCCCCTTCCCCCAATTCCCCAGTGCTGTTCCCATCCGCCAATTCCCCAATTAAAAAAAAAAATCTTAAAAAAAAAAAGAACACATGCGTTTGAAATAACAAATGTGATAGGACCAGCAGCTGAAACAGATAAGCCCCATGCTTGCTTGCAGGGGGAGAGAGGGAAACCAGGACTACATCCCAAGCTAAGAGAGCAGTTCAGGACCCCGTGTGGCCTTAGGGAGCAAGAGGGTTGTTCTCTTTTCTCCTGATGACACAACAGTTCTCCAAGCCTGCCTGGCAGTGGCTGGCAGGGAGCGCAAAGCCAGCCCTATTGCTGGGGGAACAGAAATTTGGGGAACACCACTTCTGAACAGGAAGAGAAGACTCTTCTCACTGCTCCCCAGCTCCTCTGTGGGAGGGAAGGTGCTCCCCCACCTCAGGGCTGCCTCCTAAACTGTATGGGGAACATCAAGACTGGAGGGGATGACATACACCTGCTGGCACCCAGTCCAAGCCTCCTGGGTAAACAACCTAAACTCTCTTACCACAGCGTTCCCAGCCCAAAGCCGCCTTTCCTGCCTCTTCCCCGGCCCCTCTCTGGGTATCACTAATGCAGGTTAGGTTTGAGGTTTATCATGGCCAAGACTCCATCCTCTCTCATCACTTGATCACGCATCCTTTTAGCAGTACTGAGTTTCCACCTGTAGCCCTGAAACCCAGCCCCTCATCTACAGCCTTCTGCTGGCCATTCTCATTTGGATGACTTGACCACTACCAAGTCCTCTCCCTCCCCTCCCTGGGGGCACCTCCTCCCGGCCAATCTGTCTCAGCCATTGGCCACACTTCCTGCTCAGTTTTGACCCCATGCTCTCCTCTCCCTCATATCAAACCCCATTAATTCTTCTCTCAAAGTTTTCTAAATGAATCCCTCCCACTTAGGCTCTAAGAGCTTTGCACTTGAACCATGATGCCCCAATTCACCTCTCCACTTTCCGCACCCCGCCCCCCTCCCCCCCACCATCATTTCAGTCTGTTGAAGAGTAGCAGAACATGCCACCTCAAAATATGCCACTTTGACATATGGTTTATTTTGAGCTGAAGACAATTGAAGAGAAACAGAAGAAAAGTTCTCTGCTCTACTCCCAAATTGCCTAAAAGTAGGACAGATATTTGTGAAGGTGTCCCCCTCCCTACCAGGAAGGACAGAAGTTAATCACCAGAGATAAGTGGAGTTGCTAAAACCATCCCCATCTACCATTAGTCCCCCCCCCCCCCCGTATATTTGCCTCACCACAACTTGCCATCCTAGAAGCTCAAAGTCCTTTTATTTTGTCTTGTCATTTCTCTAAAAATTTATTGTATGTGAGATGCACCATTCACACTAACAAACTTCTGTTTTCTCTTGTTAATTAGTCCCTTGTCAGCCTAATTGGTGGGGCCCAGCCAGCGAACCTAAGATAGGTAAAGGAAAAATGTTTTTCCTCCCCTACACTATACATGGATTAGCCACTAAACTAACCTTAAAAATGTTGTTTTCCTGTCATTCAACATCTGCTCAGAAATCTTCAAGAGCTGCCTGTGGGTGACAAAAGATGACCTAACTGGGAATTGGGGTGTGAGGCCACAAAGAACTGTGGCCCTGCATGAAGGCATGGAAGAGGGTACACCACACACCCCAACGAAGCTCAGCAAAGACAAACACTGGCCGGTCAATCAAAATGTAGGGCACAAGTTTGCAACCTTTGCTCAGCAGAGTCTAATCCAAAATCCTTAGTCTGTCATTAAAATTTTTTACACCAGCTGGTCTCACCCTCAATTTCCAGTCTTCTCTGTTGTTGCTCATCTGCTGGGAGCTTCTGATCCAGTAAGATTAGATGCCTTTTTCCCTGGGCATAGCCCTCCTCTTATCCTCCCACATCTCAAGTCCATCCACTCTTGGAGGGCATTTGACATCCCACCTGCTCCCCGAGACTACAGGACCAGCTGCCCCTCCTGTGACAGCACCTGTCCTCAGGAATGTGACTGGGTCTCATCTTCCAACTAGATTAGGGGCCCACAAGGCAAAATGGCAGCAAAGACTGAGAAAGTCACTGCAGAGTAAACCAATCTCCAGTGTTAATGCCTGAAAAGCACTGAGCATTCTACTAAGAAATAGAATCCTACCATGGAAACAACATGGGAGAGGACTGTATCTCCAGGAGGAGAGCTGAGGGTCTCCATGGCCAAGCAACCAGGAGCCAGATACAGAGCAGGAGCTCTCCTGAGCCAGCCAATGGCTTCAACTTCCTGCCCACACAGCTCCCTCCCATCCGACTCACCACTCATGCAGGCTTCGTGCAGTGGGGAGGCCGTATACAGGGGTGGGTTGACCTTGGCCCCATAGGAGAGCAAGAGCTTCACACACTCGATGCTGCCCGAGGCACAGGCATCGCAGAGCGGGGTGCTGCCATCGATGTTCCGGGCATCCACCTCGTGGGGAGGAAGAAACAGATGTCACAGGGCAGGGTAGAAAACTCGCTTGCTCCTCTAAATGTACATTCATCTTAGCAAAGACACTTCTTGGCCTTTTTTGAGACGTTCTTAGGTTCTCTAGTACGTGCTAAGGCACCGTGCTAGGCAGGGGAGTTCTCAGATAGAAAGGAACCTGGGTTGGGATGGCCTACTAGCCTCCTAAGTACAGGTGTCGCCCTGTCTGGGATTCTCTTCTTTCTTGGGCAGGATCAACTCAGCCTCACTCTTGCCACCACCCCAACACCTAATATGCACAGACCAGGCAAGGAGAGCTCCAGGTTCAGGCTGAGGAAGGCAGGGCGTAAAAACGGGCTTTAATTCCAGCCTCAGCTAGAGGTGCCTGAAACTGCTTAACGTGCCTCCTTCTAGTTGGAAAATCATAGGGTAGGATAAAAGCAACTCCCCAAGTGGCAGGTTCTGCTTTGAATTTGTCCAAATTCAGCTGCTGTTTGGGTACATGCTGAAGCTTGTTCCCTTTCCTCCTGAACCGCCTTCATAGCCAAGCTTCGGGAAAAATGAAGTGGTACAACATGAACCTGACCCTGGTGCCTGCATTCCTCTGATGTAATCCGTCCCAGCAGTATCTGGGCCAGCCAGTCAGCTCGCCCAGCCCACTGTCAAATATCCAGCAATCCCACCAGCTGGAAAGCACTGGGTATGGTGTGAGTCCTTACACCAGGGAAAGCAGCAAATCAGAATCTTGTTTTTGTTCTTTTTACCTTTTTTTCCAGAGAGTAGTGTGCTAGCACCCACTTAGTCATCCTGCTCTCTGAGCCCAAACAGCAGCGCTGCAGCCAAGGCCCCACCAGCCCTCCAGAAAGCCTCTGTCTGCAATGTACATGGCCTGCCAGGCCCCCTGCCCAGTGCAGGGCAGGGCACTCCATCCACCAGGTTTGCTATTGCTAAAACTGCCTTCTCTTTGACCACCAGTGACCCCCGCTACCAGCCGAGGCTATGACCACACTGACTGGTCCTAGTGTGCAGTTGACCCCTCCCCATCCTCAGTTCCCACCACTCCTCATTCTGGCTTCCTCCTTCCTTTCCTTCTCACTATCCTGCAGGGGTTTCTCTCCTTTCTGAGCACTTGCCAGTCACAGAATGCTAATTCCAAAATCCTTCTTTTCTTCCTTCTACATGCCCCTTGACCTTGTCCCATCCATGCCTGCAGCCAGAGTGTCCTGAAGGGCCACTCACCTGGGCCCCGGCAGCAAGGAGTAGCTGCACGCACTGTGCCTGGCCTTGCAGACTGGCCGCGTGCAGGGGCGTGATGGAGTCCACCATGACCTGGTTGACACAGGCGCCATTCTCGATCAACTGCTGCAGCTGCAGGGCCTCACCGCGCTGGGCAGCCTCATGCACGGGGGTGCGTTCAACCCAGAAACCTGGAAAGGCAATGGACCTAGTGATGAGACCATCTTCTATGTAGGTCAAATGAACGCACTTACGACTCCAGAGACCCCTTAGGAAACTCAGATACCATGCGTGACCATGTAGTTGGTCCAAACACTCCACTCAAAGTCCTGAGGGCTGGAGGCCAGTCTTTGGTGGCATATGAGGGCCTTCGTGATGGGGCTTTGCTCACCTCCTTGGCCCATCTCCCACACCACCCCACAAACCCCTGTCCAGTCACACTCACATCTCATCACTGCCCCTGCCATGTCATACCTGCATCTCCTTGCATATATTCTTCTCTTCCTAAAATGCCCACCTTCACCCTGACCCCAAGCGTCCATCCTGCAATCTCCCATTTAGACACCTACATACTCCTCGTGAACCCAGTTGAAATATCTCCTGCTCTGGGAAACACTTCTCCCACAATACTCGCACATACACAGTCATTTATACTGTTCGCCCTCCTTGCCTGGGAGTGCCTTGAAAGTAGGGACCAGGTTTTAATGACTAAATTTTAGCAGATCCCTCAAAATCACACAAAATCATGTCATCTGCACACAAAATCATGTCATCTGCAAATAAAGATAGTTTTGCATCTTCCTTTTTAATCTGGATGCTTTTATTTTATTTCTTGCCTTGTTGCCCTAGCTTGAATTTCTAGCACAATATTGAACAGAAGTGGTGACAGCAAACACCCATACTTTATTCCTGGTCTTAGAGCTAAAAGCTTTGTCTTTCACCATTAAGGATAATGTTAGTGTGGGTTTTTGTAGATACCTTTTATCAGGTCGAGGAAGTTCCTTTCTATTTCTAGTTTGTTGAGTGTCTTTATCATGAGAGGGTGTTGGATTTTGTCAAATACTCCTTCTGCACCTATAGCTATGATCATGCCATCTTAATTCTATCAGAATGGTGTATTACATTAATTGATTTTCAGATGTTAAACCAACCATGCATTCCTGGGATAAATCCCACTTGGTCTTGGTGTATAATCCTTTTTTACATGATGCTTGATTTTGTTTGCTAGTATTCTGTGAGGATTTGTGTGTCCATTTTCATAAGTCATTTTTCTTGTGATTGATGTATTTGTCTAGTTTTAGTATCAAGGTAATACTGACCTCATAGAATGAGCTGGTAAATATTCTTTCCTCTTCTAATTTTTGAAAGAGTTTTTGAAGAATTGGTATTAAATCTGTGAATGTTGGGTCAAATTCACCTGTGAAGACATCTGGGCCTGAGCTATCCTATATTAAGTTTTTAAATTACCAATTCAATCTCCTCATTTGTTATAGCTCTATTCAGGTTTTCCATTTTTTGAGTCAGTTTTGGTAGTTTGCAGGTTGTACCTCTTTTTAGGAATCTGTTTACTTCATCTGTGTTATCTAACTGGTTGGCATACAAATTGTTATGGACTGAATTGTGTCCCCAACCCCACCCCAAATTTCATATGTTGAAACCCTAACCCCTAGTACCTCAGAACATACTGGTAACTGTATTTAGAGATAGGGCCTTCACAGAAGTAGTTAAATTAAAGTGAGGCCATTAGGGTGAGACCTAATCCAATCAGACTGGAGTTTTTATAAGAAGAGATTAGGGGCCTGCCGAGTGGTGTGTTGGTTAAGAGTTGGCTTGGGACGCCAGCTCTGAGCAGCAGTGCCCCGGTTCGGATCCCACATGTGGACCAGTGACACTGCACCCTCGACAGCTAAGATGGTGAACAACAGCTCGACCTGGAGCTGGGCTGCCGTGAGTTCCCAGCAATGGCGTAGGCTGCAGTGAGGCTGGTTGGCAGTTGGCGTGTTCTTCCGTGAGCTGCCGTGAGCCACCATGAGCAGCTGTCCAATGGCCAGCAAGTGACTGCCTCACCTGGGAAGAGCGCAATGATAATACCAACATGGGCCAGTGAAGCGATGTCCTCCACAATTAGACTGAAGAACAAAAAGGACAGCAACTTGTCTGTTCCCCTTCCCCAATTCCCTAATAAAAAATAAAAAAATAAAAAATAAAAAAAAGAAGAGATTAGGCCACACAGACACTAGGGATGTGCATGAACAGAGGAAAACCATGTGGGCACACATAGAGAAGGTGGCTGTCTGCAAGACAAGGACAGAGGCCTCAGGTGAAACCAAACCTGCCAGCACCTTGGTCTTGGACTTTTAGCCTCCTGACTGTGAGGAATAAATGTCTGTTATTTAAGCTGCCCAATCTGGTATTTTGTTATGGCAGCCAGAGCTGACAAATACTATGACAACTGTTCATAGTATTCCCTTAGAATCCCTTTTATTTCTGTAAGGTCCATAGTAATGTCCCTTTTTCATTCCTGATTTTGGTAAAGTGAGTCACCTCTCTCTTTTTTTTTTTTTTGGTCAGTTTAGCTAAAGGTTTATTAATTTTGTTGATCTTTTCAAAGAAGCAACTTTTTGGTTTGTTGGTGTTCTATGTTGTTTTCTGGTCTCTGTTTCATTAATTTCTTCTCTAACCTTTCTTTCTTTCCATGTGCTTTCTTTAGATTTAGTTTCCTCTTCTTCCAGTGTCTTAAGATGGAAGTTTAGGTTCCTTGCTTTGAGATCTTTCTTCTTTTTTAATACAGGAATTTACTGCTATAAATTTCCTCTAAATGCTGCTTGAGCTGCATCTCATAAGTTTTGGTGTGTTGTGCCTTCTTTTTCATTCATCTCAAACTATATTCATTTTTGCAATCCAACCTCAAAAAAGTACGTGTTCAATAAGTATGTTAATTGGGCCGGCCTAGTGGCGCATTGGGTAAGACTTGGCTTGGGACGCCAGCTCTGAGCAGCAGGGCCCCAGTTTAGATCCCACATGAGGGCCAGTGATGCTGCGCCCTCTACAGCTAAGATGGTGAACAACAGCTCAACCTGGAGCTGGGCCGCCGTGAGTTGCCGGCGATGGCGCAGGCTGCAGTGAAGCTGCAGTGGGCTGCCATAAGCTACTGTGAGTGGCCGGCAGCCGGCGTGAGTGGCCGGCAGCTGGCGTGAGCTGCCAAGAGCCGCCATGAGCGGCTGTCCAGTGGCCAGCAACCGATCTGCCTCACCCGGGAAGAGCGCAATGATAATACCAACGTGTGAAGCGATGTTCTCTACAATTAGACTGAAGAACAAAAGGACAGCAACTTGTCTGGTCCCCTTCCCCGATTCCCCAACGCTGTTCTCCTCCCCCAATTCTCCAATAAAATCTTTAAAAAAATAAAACATAAAAAAATAAGTATGTTAATTACTAAATAAACAAAGGCACTGCTCCTATCCCAAAATGGAGTAAAATTCACCGTTTGTTATACAATGGCTTACCTCTTATCACTCTCTGCCCATCACCCACCTCTTAGCTGTAGAGAATAAGTTACACAAAATGTGGCACTCTGACCTCCCTATACCTGTAGCCAGTGCTTCTCACACTTGAGCATCAGTATCACCAGAAGGGCTGAGCCCCATCCCGAGAGTCTGAGTCAGTAGGTCTCAGGTCAGTAGAGCCCGAGAATATGAATTTCTAACATGCTCCCGGACGATGCTGTTGCAGCTGGTCTGGGGACCACCCTTTGGGAACCATTGCTTTCAATAACACTTCTCCCTCTGAATAAAGCCCCTTCTCTCCCCAGCTCTAGCCTCTTTCAATCACTCCGCCCACCTCCGAACCCTTCTCTCCCCGCTCATCCTAGGTAACTCCTACTTGAAATTCAATTTTTTTCCCCCTGGAGGCCTCCCTTCCTTAACCCCCATCCACACTGGGTTAACAGACCCTTCTCTGGGACCCCTCAATAAATAATGGTCTTTGTCTGGAGTATTTACGCCCCCCCCATTGTACCTATCTGTCTTGCCCACTAGCTAGAGCCTATGTGACCCCATGAAATGGTGACTCAATCATGGAGTGTGGAGGAGACGAAGGGAGTGCTGAAACGCAGAGGAGATTTGATTCCCACAAAATATATAAGCCAAGCTTAAGGAACTTTCTACTTACCATCTCAAGAAGGGTCCCTAGTAGGTTTCCCAGTAGTAATTAATAGTCACCTGTGGGCCTGTCCTGGGGGGTAGTGAAAAGTGGCTATGGGTCAGTTTAAAGTCAATCAAGGGAGAGCAACACTCCAAAGGCAGAATGAGCAGTGGCACCCCTAAAAAGAGGAGAGAAGGGCGAGGCCCTAGGACTTGCAGCAGGAAGAAAGTGCAGCTCAAGACTGCGGGGCACTGGGGGTGCCTGTGGCTGAGTGGCAGGCAGCCTGGCACAGCTCCCACATGCATCCAGCCAGCAGCTACCTAGAGAGATGTGGCATCTTCCACTGCAGGGTAGAAAGATGAATGAGATGTGACAAATAAGCAGTTCCCGGTCACAGAGGATGTGCAAATAATTTAACACAGCATGAACTTATGAGAACTTAGAAGCAAAACCTTCCACGTTTCAGGGCCAGTCAGGAAAGCATCATGGAGGAGGCTGGCTACAGTGTGTTTGTGACAAGCATGGTTTGTTTGGCTGTGTATTCCCAGTGTCTGGCACAGAATATGGCTCAACATAGATGCTCATATCCACCCACTTGATGAATGAATAAGTGAATGAATGAATGGAGGGAATCGCTAAAAAAAATTATGAAGTCTAGACATAAAAATTTTAAAAGAAAAGCTAATTTTCTTTCTTTATGACCAGTCTACACATATAGAGGAAATGCAACTTACTGGTAACCAGCAGCAGCCATGGAGGGCAGAGATCAGAAGCAGCAGGTGTGATAACAAAGAAAAGAAACTTGTGCACATCAAAGGGCACGATCAACAGATTGAAAGGCCACCTACAGAACGGGAGAAAATATTTTCAAATCGTATAGCTAAAGGGGTTAATACCCAGAATATATAAAGAACTCCTGCAGCTCAACAACACAAGCAAATAATCCAATATACAAATGGGCAGAGGACTTAAAACAGATATTTCTCCAAAAAAGACATACAAATGGCCAACAAGCATATGAAAAGATGTTCAACATCACTAATCATCA